ATGAGTAGATATGAAAAAAATAAGAATCACGAGGGGAGGAAAATGATAAATGAGGTGGCAGGCAGCCGAGATGCTGGAAGAGGAGGGTGATGGCGGGGGGGGGGGAGAGGCTAAACACTGTCCACTTACGGAGCAAAAGGATCTATCAAGACTGTCCGAACTCGATGACCACTCCTGGGAAATGAGTGAGAGGGAGGGTGGGAGGTGATGGGGTGGGTGTTTTTTTTAAGGAGGAGGGGGAAGGGGAGGGGGGAAAGTTGAGGAGAGAAAAGGCAAGAGTTTAATAATCAGGTTTGGACCCCCTTGCCAGCCCCGCTCTATGGCCCTCCTTCACCCTGGATCAAGCTGTTTTTTTTAAGGAGCAGGGGGAAGGGGAGGGAGGAAAGTTGAGGAGAGAAAAGGCAAGAGTTTAATAATCAGGTTTGGACCCCCTTGCCAGCCCCGCTCTATGGCCCTCCTTCACCCTGGATCAAGCTGCAACGGGAAGAGGCAAGTCAAGGCTCCTGCCCCCCCCCCAACCCCAGAGTCCCGCTAGCAACCGAGGACAGACAGACTGACTGACTGACAGACAGACAGGCACAGACCTCCGAGCCCTTCCAGCCATGCGCTCCTTCGTCCCACCCTCGGCCGTCTGCGACTTGCACCTCGCCATCAGAGGCTGGCTGGCCCTGGGCTCTGGAAACTGCCGTAAAGCTATCGGGGATCCAGGACACAAACGGAACGATCCGATTCTCTGGTTCAAAAGTTACCCGAGTCCCTGCGCTTGCTCTTTCGCCACAAAATCTGTTGTGTTATTTTTGGGAAGGATACAAACTGTTGAGTGACAATGGAAAGAACGGCTTTCAAGGAGGCGATGGACGGGAGGGTGGCTTTCAAGCTACGGGGAGACCGTTCCAAACTGGGTGTTTAAATTATAGGGGTGCCGTTTGTACATCCCAAGCCCACAAAAACCCAGACTGAGTAAACAAAGGCCTTGAACTTCACCGGCCAAGAGCAGGCGGACCCTCCCAGCCTTCTGAGGGTGGGCAGCGGCAACGAAGGGAAAAGGCCGGGGGGGGGCCTCCAACCTGTGCCTCTCAGCTCAGAGCAGGTGGGGAGAGAAGCCTGTACTACAAAAAGGGGGGAGAGCTGTCAAGGAGAAAAGGTCCTCCTGAGGCCACCTTGGGTCCATCCTTTTCTTCCTGAGGTGTCAGCACACGAGGGGAAAGGACAGAGGGAAGAATCATGCAGCCTGCCTTGCGCGTGGCTTTCTTTGAACTCCATCCGTCCGTCCATCCGCCCCCCCCTTCCTCCCTCCCTCCCTTCCTTCGAGCCAAAGGCAAGGTAGGAAGAGACTCCAGTGAAGGAAACGCAAAACGTTACTTGACGAAGAGAAACTAACGAACCCCCCCACCCACCCCTGGCCTCCCAAAGACGAAGCAGGACTTGGGAGTGAGCGGCAGCCTCCTTTTCCAGACACCGACTGCCCTGCAAAAACCTATACAAAATAAAGTTTTATTTAGTCTCTATTTAGTCTTTTGTTAAGTCTTTCAGGCGACACTAGACTCTTGTTAGTTTCGCCGCAACAACTGACACGGCCTCTCCTCTGGAAAGAAGCACCATTTTGTTCGTCTGCCACAAACAAAATGGGAAATTTATTAACAGTCAGCACTTTTGCTATTAGGAAGAGAAAGAAGCAAGGAGCAGGGCGAAAATGCAGAGGGGGGGGGAAAGAAAGAAAGAGGGAGCCAGTTCCCGCGTGGACCTCCTACTATCTTCCTTCCCAGTGTTAAATGCACCCCCCACCCCCACCCCCAGACACACACACACCTCAAACACTGCTTTGGCAGCGACAGGGGCCAAAACGCATCTCCCCTCCTCTTCACGCCACGGAACGCCTCCCTGCTTGAGAGATGCTGGCGTTCTGAGAGGAGACCGAGCTCATCAGGGTAGGTGGAGTTGGCGGCTCCTTTAAAAAGAGCACTTTAAAATAAAATGCAAGGGAAGCCAAACACGTAGACTGTGTGGGCTGGTAGGTGAGCCGGCCAAATCCAGACACCCCTTCTCTTTTTAGGGATTTGCTCTAAATGGGAAGGGGCTGGCCTCCCACCAGCACCGAGAGGATGCAGAATCACCCTGCAGAAAGCAAGCAGGAAAGGGACCGGACTCAACATTCAGTCTTCTGAACACTTGCCTGGTCGCCATGGATGATTTTCACAAGCCTGCAGGTGATCATCACTGTGATGTTTCACAGATGTTGCCTCCACAGACACACACACACACTGACAACCACACTACACCACAAGATCCAAGGCCGCATCAGAATCACAGAACTGTAAAGGCTGAGAGGGACAACCGCCCCCCCCGCCACAAGGGTCATCCACTCTAGCTCCTTGCCAATGCAGGAAATTCGAGGCTAAAATATGGCAGACAGAGGACCACACAACCTGTGCTTCAAAACCAGAATGTTTTCTACGCACGCCACAAATCTATTTGCTAAGTCCCTCCCATCTCATGCCTCAAAACACTGCTGGCAACTTGGGAAGATCAGGGGACAATTTTAGCGGGGGTGGGGGAGGCATTGGGCCCCAAAAGGAGGAGAACAAATTTCTTTCAGATTTCTGGAATTCTGTCTCCTCTTTTGAGGGAGTCCTACCCCCCCATTTTAAACCAAGAAAGCGATTCCTGGCGACAAGCAGAAAAGATGGCATTTCTCCCCAAAAAGAGAAAGACGTGTTGCCTCAAAAACAGTCCTGGGGGGGTATAACCCCCCCCCCCTCTCCCTAGCCTCTCTTAGGAGGTGCTCTAATGTCTCAGAACATTTCGGTCGCATGTCCCGGCTTTTTCTCCATCTTTCCCAACTCAATGACAGGTTGATAGCGGGACTAGCTCATTCCCAAAAAGGAAAGAGGATAAGAGGAGGAAATGTCCCACGGGCTATTAACGAGCGTTTTCTGCTTATGGTCCCATGAGGAGCGGGTGCCGGGGGGGGGGGGGGAATACATGGTAGGTGAATGGAGATTATCTGCAAGGGCTGTGCAAGCGACATGATTAACCAACAGGATGGACTTTGTCCCCCAAATCATATCACGGGCTATTAACGAGCGTTTTCTGCTTATGGTCCCATGAGGAGCGGGTGCTGGGGGGGGAGGATGAATCGGCCATTGTTTCCGCCTGTGTCAGAGCACAGAGCTCCCTCTTGTTGCATTACTCACGCAAGCAAGGGAAAGCTGCCCCGCTGCCCAGCACACCCCGGAAGAAGGGGCCAAATCACGCAAGGGAGGTGCCCCCCCCTCTCCTCTCAGTCCCGACCCGTGGCAGAGAAGTCCAGCCGATCCCGGACAGCCAAGCCTTCGAGAGGACAGGAAAGGACGGGAGGCTTCTTGCAGTGAAAAAGCCCGAGGAGGGGGAGGGAGAAGCCAAGGGGGGGTGGCTGGTCTGCCACAGGGGGGGCCAAGCAGCCTTGGCTCCCCCACTCACAGACGCCTGCACCGAAACCCCACCACCTCCAGACCGATCTTAGTGCTCTCAGTCGAGGCAGGAGGAGCAAAGCAGGTGAGGCCTGTGGAGGCTGGGCGCTTTCTCCCTCCTCCTGACATGAGGGTCTCCTCTTGAGTTTGGGTGGCCAATGAGGGGGCGGGGGAGAGGAAGAGGAAACGCCAAGGGCCGAGCAAGGTCCCGGCGTGGTTTCAGGGAGCCGGCAGCCGGCAAGCTTCCCAAGCTGCCTCCCCTCCGACGGCAACGCCTGTATCGCCAAACACAGGCACGGGCGACTTCGGTCTCAGAGGCAAGCGCCTGCGCGGAGAGCCGAAGGGGCAACTCCGTGACTCATCCCCAATCCCGCCGGAAACCAAGGGCTGAGGTGCCAACTTCGCCCGGGTGGACCTGACTCATTTCTGACTCAGCGGCAAGCTTCCCAAGCTGCCTCCCCTCCGACGGCAACGCCTGTATCGCCAAACACAGGCACGGGCGACTTCGGTCTCAGAGGCAAGCGCCTGCGCGGAGAGCCGAAGGGGCAACTCCGTGACTCATCCCCAATCCCGCCGGAAACCAAGGGCTGAGGTGCCAACTTCGCCCGGGTGGACCTGACTCATTTCTGACTCAGCGGCTCCCNNGGGGGGGGGGGGGGGGCTTTCCACTCTCTGTTCTCTGGCTGTTGCCACCACAGAAACCCAAGGACAAGCCGGAGGCCTCTCCCTGCAGCCGGGCTGCCAGTTTCACCTGCGCTGCCACAACGCAGAGTTACAAGCAGCCCAGAGAGAGAGGACAACCGCCACTTTCCAGGAACGATGGCCCTGAAAACAGGACCTGCCTGGGTGCAATACGTGGGCTGGGGGGGGCAGGGTGAGGGTAGGGGAGCAGCTGGGGGCCCCCACAGGCTCTCCTTTAGTGAAAGCACCCACCAAGTCTTGCTTTCTTCCACCTCTGATTAAAACACACACACACACACAAAAGCCTGCAAGACCTTTCTCTTCCAAATTGGAAGAAACTCATGGACTTCCTGAAATTCTTTACCATAATAATTTTCTCCGCCCGTCCCTGTTCTCAGGCAGGTACCACGACAGGCAGACCCAACGCCTGGGCTGCCTGGGGATGATGGGAACTGTATTCCAAGACCTCTGGAAAGGGGCTGGTAGGGAAGGCAGACCCTACAGCCACTTGGCAACCCATCGCTCACACTCTGGACCACACCCTGCGTGCCAAAGAGGTGGTCGACTCACGTGGGGGTCCCAAGCGTCCCTTTCTGCCTCTCCTGTCCCCCCCACTCCCAATTCCTGCTGCCGCCATTTATGGACTTTGTTGGCAGAGATACTGAGACCCGGGAGTTGACAATGGAAAGGAAACAAAGCCACATCATCCTCCAAGCCTCTCGGATTCCCGTGGCAATGGATGTAATATTTTAGTGGCACTCAAGGTGATGCTGCCTCCAAATCAGAGGCTGGCTGTTAAAAGAGGATTCTGCACAGATCTGCGTACAAAACAAGGATCCATTTAATGTCTTCTTGAAAGCTTTCACGGCCAGGATCCGATGGTTGTTTAGCCTGAAACCAAAGGCTGTCCTGGTCACCAGACCCCAGGCTGGGAGAAAGCAGAGGAAGGGTGTCAGTCATGGAACTCTTGGACGGGAGGCAAAGGGCCGTTGAGCCCAGCTTCCTCTTCCCTGACCAGGGATGCCCACAAGCAAGGGGTGAAAGCAGGCGGGCCCCGCTGTACCTGATCCCTGGCCTTTACATTTCGGGGAGCTGGGACGCGTCAGAGAAGCAAAGCCCAAGGATGTACCTCTTCCGAGCTCCGCACAAACCAAAAGAAGACACAGCCACTACACAGGTTTGAGGGGAATCCTGCACCCCAAAATGCAGCATGAAAAATTCTGCTGGAAAGGATCAACCCCCTTTTCTAAAGTCTGGTAGGTAGGTAGGTAGGTAGGTAGGTAGGCAGGCAGGCAGGCAGGCAGAAGAAAGAAAGAAAGAAAGGAAGGAAGGAAGGAAGGAAGGAAGGAAGGAAGAAAGAAAACGAAATGCTGGGGCAACCACATAAAATGAAGCAAGAAAGCAAGAAAGAAAGAAAGAAATGCTGGGGCAACCACATAAAATACTGTTATAAAGGGGAACTTAGCATTTGCCTTCTTAGCTGGAGGGACCACCAGGCACATTCCAAGCCGCCATGACCCAAATTCCGCACCGGGGAAATTTTGCTAAATGTGCACAATTCTGACACTTGGGGGGGGGGAACCAGAGTGAGGAAAGTGCCTGGGATGTCCTGCCGTAAATGGTCAAAGTGTTCGCTCTGCCACACTGTGCGTGGCTTCCCCACAACTCAATAGGATGGGGCATAACGCCCCCAACCCCACCCCCCCTCAGCCTATATGGGGCCCTGTCCAGGCCTTCTCCTAGCACCACTAATGGTACCAGGGCTCAAGCCCCTTAAGGCTAAATGCTTCCTTCTAAGTCAGACTAAAAACTGGCTGGCTTACTTAGCTACAGCTGAGAAGTATCATGATGACAATGGACTCACAGGGAAAAAGAACCAGATGCTGTACCCCGTGTCATGAGCCCGGTGGCCATACGCTTCCAGATCTCCCAGGCCTGGCTCAAGAGACAGGAAGCCAGTGCGAGCACCAAGCCCAGGCCAGCTGCCTTTGAATTTTTTTTTTTTCAAAAAGCCATTCTGCTCCAAAGCTAGCAGGACACTAAGGTTGGGGGCTGTACTTTTAAATACTCAGGAGAGGCAAAGCCTTCTCCTGTTTTGCTCAGAAAGGCTCCTGTGTCCTCGGGGCGAGAAGTCCGTTTTGACGCTGCCGAGAGAAAACGCAAATCAGCAGAACTCTGCATTAATTATGAGCAGGTGGGGCTCCGGTTCCCAGTTGGCAAAGGGAAGGGCCCCCTCGCGGGCGGGCAACCAGGGGCCTCCCGGCATCCAGCTTTCTATAGGCCCATTGTTCTCCAGCAAACAATGAAGTAGCCCACAGCAGGAGTGCTCTCTCGGCTGGCCCATTTCAGAGCCAGCTGGAAGCCTGGCATGCCGATCTGAGCCTCCATTGCCCGGTGGGTCATCTGGACCCGCTCGGACCCGCTCGGACAGGACAGTCCTCAACAGCACCTTCGTCGCTGGGAGTCCAAAACACCAGGGGGTGGACACCATCCTGGAGAAAGTTGGCTTCAGCTCCCTGGCTGGCAGGCACTGGGCAGGTTGTCTCTGAGCAAAGCCAACTTTCTGCAAAAGTCTTCCCAAGTTTGCCGTCCTCGCCCCCGACTTTATCTCTTGCTCTGCCCACACTCAAATCCTGCTCCAAGAACGCAAGGTAGCCAGCGATGAACATGAGCCAGCAAGCTGAGTTTGACGGCGGCAGGGAAAATTCTGTCTGGGCATGAAATATTCATTTCCTACTCCAGCGGCACTGAAATTCCACCCCGCTTTTCTCCTTTAATGATCGCCCAACATGGCCCCTGCCAAGAAAAACCCTTATGGGACGGAGCGGAAGAAAGGAGCGAGAGAAAACAGCCCTCCCAGCCTCCCTGTGCGAGAGGCTGCGGTGGAACCGATGAATGGAACGGTCAGGAGAGAAATGCATTACATTCCACTCCCAGTTCTAGACGGGTCATATCCACGCAAGGCCAGATTTGGCAAGACTGCAACGTCCGGTGTCCCCAGACCAGAGATCAGAACCATTACCGTTTGGACTACAACTCCCCCCCCCCCAAAAAAAACCCCAAAACCCATCCAGGCTGGCTGTGGCTGGAGACTCTGGGAGGGGTAGTTTTGGACCCGGACTTTTCGTCAGTTTCCGTATTTCCCTTTTCAACTGGGTTTCTTTCCCCCCTTCTCTTCCCACCCTTTTAATAAAGGCAGAGAAGCGCAAAGGGGCCGGCCGACAGATCTCACAAGGTTTCTCTCTAACTTCTGCCACAGACGGGACACAAGAAGCTCCAGAGCCACCAACACCTCCACAACCACACAGCATCCTGGTGTGGAATTTGCAAGATGCTTGTGGTGCAGTCTTTAAATCTGAAATTCTAAGCAAGGCGGGGTTCCAGACAAACAAGATTCATGAAGTCTGGCTTCAAGAGCCTGCAAGATCCCCCAGGCCATCTCGGAAACCCATCCATCTCATGTGGTTTCAGAAGACCTGGAGGGCAGACCCACTACGGAATACGGAGCAGCTGCTCTCTCTTAGCGCGGGCCCTCGTGGGTCCAACTCGGCACCAGGCAGATTCCCCTGCTGCTCTTCTTTTCCGCTGCCCATGCTGTCAAACCGAGGATCAAGGCCACCCTGCCCCTGTCGCCGCCACCATCCCCCCCCCCGCATTACCTCCTCATCGTTCTCAACTTTGGGGTTGCTGGCCGTCCGCTTGAGGTTGCTGCTGAGGCTGATGCTGACGGTGGCGTCCGACTTGGACCGCTGGTGAGTCCTTTTGGACGGGGAGAGCCCCATGTCAGGAGGGGCCGGGCTGAAGGCGGGCAGCTCCCTCTTCCGCTGAGCCGGCTTCAGCTCATCAGAGAGGATGAGCTTCCGGAGCTTGGTCCCGCGGGAGTGGCGCTGGGTGGAGATGTGCATGTCCGAGGAGAAGGCGCCCAGCAGCAGGGCGCACTGGAGGGAGAAGTTGATGCTCTGCCGGCAGCGGTGGACGATGTACGGCTTGATGGCGTCGCCCACGTCCTCGTCCATGTGGATGTACATGTTGAGCAGCTGCGGGAGGTAGAAGTCCACCTCCTCGTTGCGGAAGTAGAAGAGCCGGTTGCCGATGTAGGCCTGCACCCCGGGCTCCTTCGAGTTGTACAGGTATGAGATGGCCATGGAGATGTCGAAGAGCTTCGACTCAAACAGTCGCAGGAGCCACGACTGCTTGGCCGAGTTGTTCTTCTGCCGCCGGCGGGCGTTCTTCACCGAGTGGGCTGCCTGCTCGTCCTCCTCCTGGATTTTCTCCGGAGGGTCATCCAAGCACTTGATCTCGCAACACTGTCCGTTCGGGACGGCCTGGCCCCGCCGCCAGGGGGGGCCTCCTGCCCCGCCCCCACCCCCGCCCTCGCGCAGGTGAATGGTGCCATCTGATGAGATGCAGTGCATCAGCTTCACCTTCTCTAGCACCTCCTCGCAGGCTTTCTTCGCCACCTCCGGGTCGATGACCGCCAGCTCGCCGACGCCTTCCGTGATGACCCCGAGGGGCGTCATGGCAGGTGTCCCTTCGCTGCTGCCTGGAGGTGGTGTTCCCGTCGGCCTCTCCTCCGACGCGTCCCCTGGTGGTGGTGGCGGCAGCGGCAGAGGGGCTGCATCTGTGGCTGAGTCATTCATCTCCAAGGCAGGTCTATACGCTTTCAAAGCTGGAAGGCAAATGGGCAAAAATGACGGCGTTGTTCCAACCAACCTGTTTGTGTTTTATTGCTTAAGAAAGAATGAAACCTCTCTTCCACATTTCAGTTCTTTTTCAATTTATGTCCTGCTGAGACCAAAGACAGGTCCCGGGGTGGGGGTGGGGGGGCGGCTGCAATTAAAAATGAAAACACTGGCAAGTCCACTGCAAAAACCTAACTAAACACATTATCATATGAAAACATTAAAAAGGCAGCACGCCCATCCTTTGGAAGCCCCCTGCCTCGGTAGACAGTGATCTCCCAAAAGGGCACCGGAGGAAAGAGGGCTTGGCCAACTGACAAAGGGGCAAACGGACAAGCTGGTAGCAATGAGTTCCACTGGCAGAATAAGGATTAGTGATGCTAGGTCCTATGTAGAAATGCATACAGATAAACACACCAGAAGTTCTAGATGAATGGTTCCCCACCTGGGTTCCCGGATATTCTTGGACTTCAACTCCCAGAAACCCTGGCAGAAGAGCTAGTGGCAAAGGTTTTGGGACTTGTAGTCCAGGAATATCTGGCAAACCAAGGTTGGGAACCCCTGTTCTAGAAAATAGGGATGCTGGGTCCCATGTTGGTGAAGGTTGCCTATTGTTAAAGCACTCTTTTGGAGGGGATAGCAACTCTTTGGGGACAGAATTATCAAAGGTGCTGGTGCAGATAAGGCCCTGCAGGCCTCTTGGAGAGGCGAGACAGGGAGACGAGCCCGTACAGAAGATCTGAGATGCAGGATTCCCAGTCCATCCCTCACACGTGCCAACTCCTCTGCCCTCCACACCAGGGATTCTACCAGGCCGAGGAACCCTGAAGGGGATTATATGGACAGCAATGGGTCAGGAATATGAGACACAGGCCAGCTACTGCACGCTTCTGCTTCACTGCTGGGATGCCCAGGCAGGCCTGGCATGACTCCACTACCGGGGCAAAGCCGGAAGGCCGATCCTCACTACACAGGAGCTGCTCCCCACCACCACCACCACCACCACAATAAGCATCGCGCCCCTTGCACAGATTCTAGAGAGGGGGCGGGATGAAGATTAAAAAGCAAAAGCAAAGCGTGCTGCTTATAGACCGCCCCAACGTGCTTCAAGCACTCTCTGAGCGGTTTACAAGTTAATTATGCAGGCTACACATGGACCCACCCCCCAGCTCCCTGGGTACTCATTTTACCGACCTCAAAAGCGAGCCCATTAAGGGATTTCGCTCGAGGTCTTAATGGTGGCATCGTCTGAGAGAAGATCTGACAGGCACCAGTGATGCACGGGTTGACATTGCGACTGCAGTCCAGTGCCGCATTTACTTGCAGGAAGCTGCAGTGGGAAGACAGAGATGCACACGTGTCAAATGAAACCATTTCTATAGGTAGGAAACGGACTTGGAAAACATTTTTTCCATCTACCGATTATGCGGGAATTGATTTTTTTTAAAGACCTAAGTTACTAATCTTAAAAACTACATTGGATGCAAATTTAAGTCACTTGCTGAGTAGAACCACTTAAGTCAAGAGAGCTGGTCTTCCTAGGCCTATTAGAATAATTGGACCATAAATTAGCCTTTACAAATACACAGCACTACTTAATGGAACTGCTCTGTCTGAGTCTATAGGAAAAAACACGTGGCTTGGTGATTTTGGGAGTTGTAGTCCATGACAGAGAGGACAATCCGGAGGTGCATGCCACAGTGCCGTATCTTAGGATATGTCGTTTGGTGAATAATTTCAGTATCTGTTAAGAAACCTCCCGTGCCTTCCCCACACACAAACTATGGAAAAGGATTCTAAGGACCTCTAAAAACCACAAAGCCCAGAATTCCTTGGGATGCAGAGAGGGACCTCCTCTCTGAGACCACATGAATACCTACAATCTGTCCAGGGACGAGGGGCTACCACAGGCCACGGCTGGCAAATGAGCCAAGCCTGTCTGTTTCAGACTCCAGGCATGTATGACTACTTTCTCTAATCTGGCTGCCCTCCAGACATCCTGGACAACAACTCCCATCTTCCACACTCCAATCACTGGTGGCATCAGGTCAGGGAAGTCTGCTTTTTGGAGCCAATTCAATCATTCAGAGAGAGAGACAGACAGACACAGAGAGAGAGAGAGAAGACAATTTCATTTCTGCCTAAAAGAGAAGCTTTCACTCAACTGCTTTGTGCCAATAACAATTCCAAATTAAGCTCCGAAGCAGGAGATGATGGTTTACTGCCTGAGAAGGACGCGCCAGCAGGTCGCAGGGCCTAAAATTAAATGCCTCCCTGCTAATTTAAGGGCAGAGTTTTATTCAGGAATGAATACCCAGTTTATCTGCTTAGCGTGTGATGTAACCCGCCGGAAGGCAGAGCAACTTAGCAGGGTGAGATCTGTTTACTGCACGCTTCCCAGCTACTCTGCTGCCTCCGATGCTTCCCTGCTTCCTCACAGACCTCCTCAGCACCACCACACACACAAACCAGTGCTTAAACTAAAGGCGACACGAGGCACCGTGTTCTGAAAATTTGGGAGGGTGCAAAAGCTAGCTTAAGGCGAGGACCTGGTGTGGCGTTTGCAAGACTTGACGCTGATGCGGACGCCTTGCACGGAGGCACCTTTCACAGAACCCGGGAGAGGCCCAGCTCCGGAGGGCCGAGCCCAGCCGCCTAACCCCAGCCCGCCACGAGAATGTCTTGAGGCTCGCTTGGAGGAGGTGGGGTTCAATGCCAAGCATCCCGGGGCCGCCTTCACAGGATCAACCTCTACTTCTTCTACAATGGCAATGGAGGACAGGCAGGGAATGGGAGAGGGGATACTGCCCGCCCCCTCCACCAGCCTGGGGTCAAAACCTGTGTCAGAGAAAGCCTGTGTCACAGGGGCGCCTTCCTTGCTAAATAAAGCAGCTCTTGTGCAAAGCTGTCCACCCAGCTTGCTTTACAAAGAAAATTGCCCAGTAATTATAAATCACTATTCACTTCACACATTTCCAAAGCCCTACCCATTTGAGGCCTCAGTCATCTTTAAGTGGCCTCAGACTTAATTCCAATCCAAGGCTGTAGCTCCTGTTCGACACAACGCCAGAGGGAGGGGAAGGGGCAGAAGGGTGTCTGCCTAGGAGGAGCCGAAGCCTGCCCCGTTTCCTTGATTTTGAGAAGTTTCCAAGCAGCCCTTGGCCCACAAGATCCCTCGGGGCAGAGGATGTAACGTTGCAAAAGGACAAACTAGAGAGCTCTCCGAGTTCATTACAGGCTGCACGAGAAGTTCAGCTGGCAAGCCCGCACATCCATACACCCCTCTGGATCAGCTGCAGACATCTGGTTTCCATCAGGAAGCTTTGATTTTTTTTCCCCCTCCCCTGTGCTCAGCTCTCGGCAGACTGAACTGTGCACGCACCTCCCACCCCCTCAGCCGCTCTGATTACTTGCATGTGATTAGAACACATACTTTAAGCATCGCAACATGGGTCCAGCCTCTCCTTTGGCTCCTTCAAAAACTGCTTCAAGAGCAGAAGGCAGCACCTCCGTTCAGGAAAAGCAGAAGCGGAGAACAAGGACGAGAAGGTGGTGGGCAGGGCCCGGAAAAAGCTGCTTTTCTCAGAATTACCCCACGTTCACAGTGACCTGAGGGGAGTCTGGGCAACCAAAACAACAATATTTTCTAATTCAGCTGAGCTTTTAACCGCTTATCTCTGGGAAAACAGCTGGGACCTGGACTTCTCAAGGGATCTCTTTGCACTCCCCTCTGCCAATCTAGGATTCCACAAGCCTTGGCATCTTCTGGATGCCGCCTTGACTAGGGATGTTCGGCAACCCCTCTGGAGGATAGGTGCTGGGTTGGAAAACCTGAAATCAGTCATTTTTATCCTGTGAGGAAGAAATCCCGAGAGACCCTGCGCTCCGAGGAGAGGCAAGGGGAATCATTAAAGTGTTCCCGTTTGGCAGGAGTGAGAAAACAGGTTTGAGGGTGGCCTGGAGAAAAATAAAACACCCCAACAGACACACTGTGGCAAGCCTGAGCAGAGATGCAAGCCACTGAGTCATTTTTCCTGCTTTGCATTCTGGATAGCACACAATGGAAGCCCATGGCTTGGGCACCTACACAAACACACCCTTTCTCCACGAGGTGACAGCGCGCAGTCCGCACAACCTCTCACCTGCCCTAGGCAGAGAATAACGCTAGCTCACCTTCCACACTGGGCAATCAAAAAGGCCAGGAAAAACGATGCCTACAGAGTTCTCTGCAGGGTTACTGTAACACATATATTTTTTAAAAAAAACAAAAGAAGAGTCATTACAGACCAGAGCACCAATTAAAAGAGAAGGAGGAAATTGACAGGATGGGCGTACTGAGCTTAAGGCTGGATGCAGAATACCAAATTGTCCAGCTTTAGAAAGTAAGCTCAGATTTAAGTCTAAATTTTGGTAAAACACAAGCAATTACAGAACCTCCGTTTTAAAAAAAATCACTGAGATGTAGAATTGGAGGAGTTTCCCAAGGGGATCTGATCTAAATCCATACAAATACAGGAACTGGGAAAACACTCTCCTGAGGGTCTCTGAGATCCTGAGAAGGAAAATAAGTTCCTAGTCCTTAGGGATACAAAACTAGGTCTAAAAGAGGATACGTCACCACTGGTCAAATCTTAGGAAGTGGAAGGAGGGCCTGAGTTCCCAAAGCACATGCCCCTCCCTTCAAGGAGAAAGGGCAAATTCATGCGGTAAAAGAGACTGAAGAATGTACAGAAAAGGAGAAATTACCTAAACAAGCTGTAGAACGGCAGCTGCCATTGCAACATCACGTGAGTTGCCCACGTGCGGGATTAAGACAAAAAACAAAATAAAACAGAGTACAAAGTGTTCCGACATCAGTATCATCCAAGGCGGCTGAAAGGCAGGGAGGACGTCGCGTTCCCAACACAATCCCTCCCCCAAGCCCACCTCAAAAATCATGGCCCAGGAAAAAGTCACTCAAGGCAGAGAGGAAACTAATCCACTCTGGGGCTCCTCCGGCCTTCTCCAGAAAATCCCGGGGGGGGGCACACGCACAGACCCGAAACACCCCAGACAGAACAAGAGGGTCCACCCATCACTTACTTGTCTCGTTCTTCTCCGGCCCGGCAGCGTTTTCCTGCTCAAACACACACGCACAAGGCCGGCCGAGTCAGCCATCTCTTGAGTCTGGGACTCAAAGGAATCCTTCCCAACCGTAATGATCCGTTGCACCTTCAGGGAAGAGGAAACGTGAGACACACAGAGCTGGGGTTTGGGGACGGAGTCTTTCATCCGCGCCAGAGTGAAAGTCGGCCTTTCAGATCCACTCACCTGAGCAGCAGTGTCTGGTTTGCGTGCAACACACCCTCTCTCGAGCACTGAAAAAAACCAGAAAGACCTTCGGTTACACAGGCCTCTGGAGAGACACCTCCTGCACCCTCTCGCATTCAGAGCACACTCCATTTGCGAAAGAAGGAGGAAGTGGTTCATACTTTACAATGTTATAATCCTGCCTCATCCCTTTGAGGCAGCTCAGCCGCAGAACACACGCATTGATTAGGCCGGTGGTCACAAGTTCGATGTTTCATGAACATCTTTGTAGGGTCAGGGGAGAATCCTATCAGAACCCCTGGTGAGATGCTGCCAGTCAGTGTCCAGAATCCTGGGCTAATCTCAGGATAAGATCGCTTCTTGTGCTCCTTAATCATAAGGAGCACTCACCGTTCACATATCCAAACCACTCTTCCACAGGTCACGTTCAAAACACCATCTGTAGCCCCTGTACATCTTGCCATGTACAGGGGCAAGGTGTACAGGGGCTGGAGACATGTCAGCAAAAGCAGCAGCTCATGGTGAGCAAGGAGAGACACCCCCCCCTGGCATTAGGGCATCAGCTCAACTCCAGCACCTGTTTTTACCTGAATGGAGGGGGACAAGACAAGGCAGGGAAGGCAAGGGCCACGTAAGTTGCCCTCCAGGAACCAACGTGGGCTTAAAACACCCCAAGGAATTGAGGGAGGGAAAGTCCCAGGGTGATCCTTCTGTCTCTTCTCTACCTCCACCCAACTGGGCAAAAGTCGTCTCACCCCAGCTTTATAATTAACACAATGCTTAAAACACATTTGCTTCTTGACAGTATAGTTCAGAGGAGCAAAATAGACTCCAGAAATCCCAAAGGAAGGCGCTGGGGGACAGAACAGGAAGTATATTAAAAGCCAGCATTTCCTAAAATTAAAACAAAGCATACAGCATGTGAGAATTGCGGTGCTCAATTGTTGCACAAATATATCCACCAAAAGTAAGCAGCCCGCAAAAAACTTTTTACTAGTCTCATGCCCAGCAGTTCTATCTAGTTTTTAGTATGTGGTATTTATTTGATTCTTTTAAAATATTTGTATGCTTACTGTTTTTCGCTTTCAAATATTGCCTTTTAATGATGCAAGTCGCCTCGGGTCCTTTTTAAAGGGAAAGTAAATAGATAAATAAATAACATTTTAGGCTAACTGAGAATGAGCAAAACTAAGGGATGTCACTTTCGCCTGCCTGTGGATGTGACACAGGTAACTATTTATGCCAATTTAAACATACATAATTATCTCTTTTTTAAACAATTAAGGACTAAGGACTCTGTTACTGTCTCTATGCTTGGGACACAAAACAGTTGCAACCTCCCCCCCCCTTCAAACAAACAGACAGAAAAGAAGGAAGAGCACCCCTCTGCCATGCAGGTTGACCTGGTCAGGCCAGTCCTGCAGGCCGCTTCTGGGAGGGAGTGCAGCCGCCACCACCAACCCAGAGGGAAAGAGGGAGCAACGAATGAACGGGGAGCGACAAGCACATGCTATCTTGGAATGAGACCGCGGCACAAGCTAGAACCACCAAGAGAAAACCCATCCAGTGGGGCAGAAATCTGGGGTGTACCGTGTGTGTACGTGGGTTTTTTTTTGGGGGGGGGGAAGGGAAGTGACAGAGGAAAGAAATGTCAGTCTAGAGAAGAAAATCAGGAGGATGAAATCTGGTGGCACCAGGCGGGAGGAAGAAAGCAGAGGGAGAAGCTGCCATGAGGGAGGTCGCTGAGAATGTGCTTTTCCGTTGAGGGGCCTTGAAAGCAGAGAGGAAAAGGAAGGAAAGGTTACCGATGTGTAAACAGAAAAGAATGGAGCGAAGGAAAGATACAGGAAGGCGCCATGAGGAGAGAAATACTGTATATTTCAGGAGGGAAATGAGCAAGTGGGGGTTTTTGGAAGGGGCTCTGGCAACATCGGAGCCCTGCAAAGACAAGGGGCCAGGAGAGAGTGAGGAAAAAAAGAAAATAAATTAAAGGAAGCTGAGGATGGAGAGGGAAGGAAGGGGGATTCCAGGAGTTAATGAAAGAAAAAAAGGGGGGGGGGGGAGACGAGGAACATTAAATGGGGGGGCAGGAAAAACTGGGAGCAATGGGGTGACAGCAGAGGGAGGGAGAGAAAGTTATGAGTCGCTGAGGGAGGAACTCCGAAGGGGATGATTACCCGATGGCATAAAACATGAGTAAAATACACTTTTCCTGTTTTTGCAAGCAAGTGTGGGTGCAACTGGTACAACTTTTATCATTCAGTATTTCCATGCTAAGTACAAAATATGCATTCCATGAAAAGATCGAACTGCCTGCATGTGGAAGGGCAGCTTTGGATCCAACCCTTTCTAGAGTCCAAACAAATATAAAAATCCAACTAAGAAGTGAACAAAGAGAAATTTAAAAAATGCAAGAACCACACTCTACAAAAATGATATCAAATCAAAACAAGCACCTTTTCCGGAAGAAGCGCCTTTGTTCAATATCTGCATTGCACGCCGGATGTCCAAATTGAACAGGGCCACAGCAGCAGCTCGCTCCCAGTCCCCTTCTTGTTCCAAGGAGTGCAGGAAGGGCTCTACATCCAGATCTGTGCCCTTCTTTATCCATCCACAAAGCTGCAAAGCCAATGATCTTTCCTCACTCTGGTACTGAATAATATCTGATTGTCGGTCAGATCCACTCCTGCTGTGCCTAAGGTTTTCTGTTGTTCCTAAAGAGAAATTGTCTGAAGTCTGTAAACACAACCATCTAATGTTCAAAAACAGGTATAACTAAAAGGTTCAGAATACAGGTTTGGCACCAGCCCTTCCCTCCTTTTCCCTCCCTCCCGCCTTCCTTCCTTCCTCCCTCGGTCGCTTCCTTCCTCTTCCTCCTCCTCCGGCCGCGGCAGGGCCCCAATGCAGGGCTGTCCGCGGCGGTGCCGGAGGGGCCTTCCCCGCTTCGCGCACCCCGGAACCAATAAATGAGCGGGTGTTTCGACGAGGAAAATGCCTTTTCTTCACAAGAGGACTTTGGGCTTTTTAAAAAAAATTATTATTATTATTTTCTAACCCCCACCGCTCCCCCTTCCCCCCCACCGAGAAGAGGCGAAGGACCCCTTGCGGGGCCCGTGGGCGGCCAACTGGGAGAGGAGACAGCCAGGGGGGTCTAAGCCAGTGCCTGCTCGGAAAAGGCCGGGGTGGTGGAGCGCGCATGCGCCGCCGCCTACGCAGCTCGCGCCCCTGAGTTGGAGGTGCGTGGCCGCGTTAAATTGCAGTTAATCCCGGGGGAGGGGGGGGGCTGGTTTACTCGTGTGTAAGTGTGACCTGCCCAGAAAAAGGGGGGGGGACGCTTTACACACACCTACATTTGGCAGGCTGTCCCGCCTGATCCTGTGCCATGTTTACTCAGAAGTAAAAGTGGTGGCGCCTGCAGCTGGGCTTTCTTGCAAGGAAATTTGCACGGGGGTTTTAAAGAATGGATCCCGATCCTGCGCAAGTGTCTACTCGGGAGTCAGGTGCTCTTTGTCAAAGAGATTCCTCTCCACCTCCATCAAAAGTTTGCATGGGACTAGAGTCTTGTAATGTAACCCGATTCCTCGGGCACGTTTCCTCAGAAGTAAGGCAGGGCGGGGGAGGGGGGAGAAGGTTGGACGCCCCTCCCCCCCAGATGTTGGATTCCAGCTCCCATGAGCCCCGGCCAGCAGAGCGAGCAGTGAAGGATGATGGGAGTTGCAGCACAAACTCATCCATCAGGGGAGCACAACGCCGCAGCCTCTGTCCTCTGCACATGGGCAGAGGCGCCCGCGCTTGGGTGACCATAATGGGCATTGGACTGGACACAGCCTTACGATGGTCACTGGAGAAAGACTGGCCTCTTAACAGGGAGATAGTGAAGAAATCCGTTGGGTTGGGAGCCTCTTCTTTTCCTTTGAGAGAACCTCCACGAGCAAGCACAGTCTATCATGGAATGCCACCGGTGCTATAGGGCAAAGCAAGCTACCCATGGAAGCAGCATGTGGGATATTAAGAACCCCTTTTGTCCTCATCCAACTTCAGAGCCCACTTCTGATCTTCAGGGCTAGAAAAGAGGGCGACCCCCCACAAGGCTGCCCCCTCCCTTGCGTGGCTTTCCAAGAAGTGCTTCCAGGAAAAGGGAGGGAGGGAGAGAGAGCGAGATAGAGATTATCCTTCATTTGATTAAATTTTTTTTCTGGAAGTGAGACCCAATGGCAGCATGTAAGCATACCCCCCCTTTTTTTAAGTGCACATAGAAGTACAATAAGTTGTTGGAAGACAAAAGTTGGGCAAGTTAGAATATGTTGTCGGACTGCAAGTCCCATCATTCCCCACCTCTGGTTCAAAGTGGCTAGGGCTGGTGGAAGTTCGTAACCCAGCAATTTCTGGAGGGCCTTTTATTAGGTTTGGCAACCTGTAGGAAATTTTTGAAGCCTTCTGCCTTCCCGCATCAGAGTTCCCTAGATACTTTGGGGGGGGGTTGGTTTAGCTCCCATTCTCCCCACCAGCATGCTAGGAGCGGCAGTAGCTAGAGATCAACTATAAATGCCAGAAAAGTCTTTCTTGCCCTTAATTCCACTTCATTTTATGATTCTTGGTTCTGAGTACCTCATGCAGAATGTCCTAAACTCTTGCCATGTCTCCCTCTTAAGTTTATTCCAAGCATGAGTCAGGGAGTTGGAAGGAAGAGATAGCAGATGTAAACATCAAATAATCTTTAATAAAAATAAATTAGATTTGGACCAAAAAAACACACACACACACAAAACCCCAAGGACTGGGGTGTGGGGAAACAGAACTTCTAGATACATTCAGCTTTATCATAAAAATTTATATATAACACTATATATATTTCTTTGCTTTTATATAATTTGAGCATTCTGAACCTTCTCTGTAAAACGCCTTTAATATAAATGTTTTCATTTCATTTCTTGTCACTGTGTTGCAGTTCAAGGTAATGTCACATCCAGCTTCCAGGAGGGCCCCGGTGCTATTAAGAGCAGTGTAGACATTCAACAGGTGCAGCTGAATCCCTTCCGCCCCTCCCAGCGCTGCATTTTTATACATTCTAGAAGGTACAGGAGCCATCGCCGGCTGGGGGCTGGCCCGTATCCAGCACCATTTTATCCACCAGCATTCCTACTGTTGGTCATTTGAACTGACCAGGTTTACCAAAAGGTGTGAGGTTGCCACCTTAATTCTTGTAGACTTGTTTTTTTCCTGGCAGCTTAAGAGGCACAAGAGCAGGGGCCCATACAAGAGTTGGCAACCCTGGGCATTGCACAGAGAAACCCATCTGCAAAGCAGAGCAGGAGGTTCGAGGGCAAAGGCCGAGCCAGGATGTCCCTTCCCCAGGGGCTCCGTTCTGGCCGTGAAGGTGATGGGGCAGTTGGGTGCGTGGAGGGAAAGACAGTTTCATGACCTTAGGGGTGCACCCAGAAATCGTTCGCTTTGGGCGAAGTTTGGTCAGAAAGCCGAGCCGCAGTACAGCGTAGACTCACAAAAGGGGTGGGGCCAAAAATACTAGCATCTTTTAGCTTACAGCTCATCCCAGCAGGAGTGAAACCTTTGGAAAAGCACAGCAGCCTTGAAGGATCTCTGGGGTTGGAGCCCCAGTCAGCATGATGCAGCAGCTGGAGGTGAAGGCTGAATGCCGAAGCCTCTTTGGGGTTTCAGATGATCCGCCCGGGGCAGCCTGGTTCTCAGTGGGCCTCGTTTGCAGACAGGCCTTCTCAGCCAGAGTCACGAAGGGGTGGGCTTGTGTGTGGTCCCCGCTGTTCCATGTCACCGAGGAAGGGACCCGAGTCTGAAGGAGTGGGCGCTGGGCAGGAGGGAGTCCTTAGTTCCTCCAAGGAGGGTGGGCTGTCCCCCCCAGGAAGATCGGAACCAGTACAGGATATTTCATCCTGAAAAGGTTCAGTCCTGGAAAACAACTTCTGAGTCTCGAGTTCAAAACACTTTTCATCTTCCTCGGCAGGGGTCTTCCATTCCCCCACTTCTGTGAAGTGGTGATGGTAGTCGGGGTGGGGGTCTCAGGTGATCAGAGGGGGCAACCATCCAGGACCCCACTTAAATTTGTCCCCAGGTTTCAAGTAAGGGTAGACGTCTGGGACCCGTCTTGTCCGCCGGTGCTATCGGCTCGGTCCAGCGTGGCGCCTCTGCAGGGCGTGCGTACAGGAGGCGCAGCAGAGAGCCTTGTAATACGAGTAGGCGCAGAGGCGAGCCTGCACGATCACTGGGCAGTTGGGATATTTATCCTGGCAGTTTTCGTCTGTCAGGGAAGGAGGAAGGAAGGAAGGAAGAGAGGTGACCAGGCAGCCGGAAAAGGAGACGCTCAGGCTGGGGGACTAGGATAGCTCTTTGGTCAAACTGTGACTCGCAGAATCCTCCCTCCGGCAGGGTGCTGGCTGGGGATTCTGGGACTTGTAGTTCAAAACAGAACCTTCCCAAAACTCGGAATATATCAATAATGCACTACTTCAGGTAATATTTGGATGGTCTTTCTTTTGATCTGCTAATATATTATGGATGGACTTCTTGAAAACACATTCCATGTGGTTTTTGGGTATGTGTAATGAGAACAGCTTCTTTCAAAACATCTTTTTTTAAAAAAGAAGAAGATCATGGACATATTTTTGGCAATTTTAAAGATTCCCCTCCAGTGCCAAAAGAATAGTTAAAAATACTTTAGAAAACTGCTCCAGGAACAAGAAACTAACCCATTCTCTGTAAAGTAACAAGGAATAGTAAGACATGGACGGGGTGGGGACGCAAACAAGCAGGTACTAAAGTGAACCTGTTAGTGTTTAGATGGTCTTCATGCTCTGGCAGTAACACTCCAGCGTGAGGTGCAACACAAAGATTTAGAAGTAATAAGTAATTGGAAAGCCACTAGGTTGCGTGTGAATCCTGTTAAGGTTTTAGTCAGAACTTTTAGAGAGCAAGACACAGTGCTAAAACCTTGTAGACCAGGGGTCGCCAACCCCTGGTCCGCGGCCTGGTGCCGGTCCGTGGGCTTGCCAGAACTGGGCCACGGATACAGATCTCTGCAAAAACCCCCCCCCACGCGTGGTGGGCGTGTTATGTCTGCGGTAGGCGTGCGGCCCCTGCAAGTGCAACATGCGTGTTATGTCTGCGGTAGGCGTGCCACGCTTGCACGGTGGGTGTGCAGCCCCTGCAAGGGCAACACGCCCACCACGTGAGTGCGGGGGGTGCCCCCACCACCCAGCGCATGGAACTCACTCCCCCCAGCTGGTCCGCAGCCCCCAAAAGGTTGGGGACCCCTGTTGTAGACCACAAGCTGAATATGAGATAATGGTGTGATGGAGCTGCAAAAAAAGGGCCAGTGCTATTTTAGGGTGAAAAAACGGAAGTACTATAGTCTCCGAATCTCATGAAGTCCAAGTTCCCCCTCTCTTTGGCACTTGTTAGGCCTCATCGGGAGTCCTGTGTCCAGTTTTGGAAACCACACTTTAAGAAAGACAATCTGTTAGTCAGTGGGGTGGGGGAAGCCTAGCCAGGAACTGGGCCCCCGCCATGGACGAGTGCGGAGGTTGGGGACTGGCTCCTCCTCTCCCTTGAACTGGGCCATTTTTGTGGCTCCCCCCCCCGAGAATCCCCTCCCTGGGCGCCTGACCTGCGGCTGTGCCTACGGAACGTTCTGGGACCCAG